CCAGAGCAGGTGCTGACCTACAATGGTATAGGGAATACACACACACACACACATACACACACACACACACACACACACACACACACACACACACACACACACAGCCCAACATTGTGACAGGGACCATGAAGTTTGCAAAATAAGGCTAAGACAATAGTCTCTGCCTCCAAGACAATTACAACCTAGTTGGTAAAACAGAGTTGAAATAAGCAAAACAATTAAAGAATATGCTCATATGTTAAGGATAATAGCAGGATGCTAGAGTGGAAAGAATGTTGTTCTGGAGGAGTCCAAAGATCTGTGTTTTAGACTAAATTAACTGTGTGACTTTGAGAAAGTTCCTAACCTCTGTGGGACTCATGAAATATCTACAAGGACCATTGACTGGCCTTTATCTGAAGGACCATTTGCTGCAAATGCAAAAGTCCCTTATATTCCCCGTTAGGCTGTAAACCTCTTAAAAGCAGGAAGTGTCTCTTCTATTCTTTCTGTGTCCCTACCCCCTTCCCTTGTAAGCCTTCATAGTGCTGAACACACAGCAGGTGTTTAGTCAATAATAATTGAATGATTAAAAGCCCAACTGAAGGAAATCTAGGAAATGTAACTGAAGACGAGCCCACGTTAGTGAAAATGGCCATCATATCCCTCTTGGCAGTGCAGTATAATTCTTTTAGTATTGCATTAAGACTCAAAAAATAAAAGGCTTGCTAAGCTTTCTTTGTGAACAGAAAGCAAAGTAAAGGATGTTAGGTCATTAGTCATATTTCCACCTCTTGCAGTATCATCAATCTTTCCCTGTTTATTAGCTGCCTACAACCTGTTCCAATGCCCCTTATCCTTAAAAAAAAATCCTTCATTTACTCTTGCCATTCATCTCAGCTGCTGTCCATTATTTCTTCTGTTCATTGCAAAGCTCCTAGAAAGAGGAACTTCTATAAAAATATATTTGTATAAAGTATAAACTTGCTGCCTTCCCTTCCCCCAATACACTCACTTCTCAACTCCTTGAAATCCATTCTCTGATCCCACCAGTCTACTGATGCTGCTCTTTCCCATTCCAGTCAACTTAACTGATAATCCAATGGCCTTTTCTTAATCATCACGCAACTTAATCTTTCTCTAGCTTTGAACACTGTTAATCCCTCTCTCTTTCTGAGTAGTCTTTCCTTCTCTGGTTTCTGTAATATTTCTCCCTCCAAATTCTCCTTTAAGTAGTCTGATGACTTTTTCTTAGTCTACTTTGATGGTTTACCATCCATTTTTTTGGTCCCCCAAGTATAGGTCTCTCCCAAAATTCTGTCCTGGGTCTTCTACTCATGGGTTTGGTAATCACTTCAATGCAGATGACTCTCAGATTTATATATCCAATCCTATTCTCTACTTTAAACTATGGGCCCACATTTCCATCTGCCTACTAGACTTCTCCACATGGAAAATTATCTAAAAACTCAGAATGTATAGAATAAAACTCATCATCTTCTCCCACAAATCCACACCTCTTCCAAACCTCCCAGTTTCTATTGAGAGCATCATTGTCCCCAGGGTCACCCTTGTTGATAATCCTGAAATTATCCTAGTTTTTTTCATCTCCTTCATACTTCATAGCTAAGCAGTAGCCAAGTCCTGCTGATTCTGCTTCCTCATTCATCCCCTCATCTACATTCACATGATCATCCCTGTATTTCAGACCATCATTTCCTCCTTTGTTTATTGTAATAGCTCCCAATCGGTTTCCCTGACTCCAGTCTCTTCCTTTTAATCATCTTGCACACAGATGCCAAATTATGCTATGTAAAACACAGGGCTTTTTTTGTTGTTGTTGTTTATTTATGTGTTTGTTACTACTGCTCTATGCTCAGAAACCTCCAATGACTACCTATTTGTAAAAAAATTAAATGCATACCCCTCAGCCTGGAATTTAAAGCCCCCCATAATCACCTCCCACTTACCTTTCTACTTTTATTTCATATAATTCCCTATTATATACTCTGCATTCCAGCCAGACTGAACTACTAGCTCTTTTACAAAGTCCACATTCCGTCTGCCTACATGAATTTGCATCCCCATCCCCTTTCCCCATGGAGAGACCTCTTTCATCTTCTTTTCCTCCCAGAATCCTTGCCTTCTTTCAAGCTTTAGCTCAGGTGGCCATTCATCCATGCAGTCTTCTCTTATCTCCACAATGCACAGCACTCCATTCTTCCTCACATTGTCTTGAATTTTTTAATCTGCATATATATTGCGTGCCCTCTTAGAACAGGAACACCTTCAGGTCACACATTACTTTATACTTCTCTCTTGAGCCCCAGAACCTAACACAGTGCCTTGCCAATAGGAGGTGGTTTACATCTGTCTTCCGTTGTTACATGATTTATACTGTTTTTTTCTGTCTCCCCAAGTGGATCATGAGCTCCTTGGGATCGAAAATCATGGATTATACATATTTGTATCCTCTACATACCTTGACAAAAATCCAATGAGTCAATGAGTGGATGTGACCTTGTAAAATATGAGTGCTCAGTCAGACTTTAAATAAATAGTTGTCATCTCAGTTTCCAATGCTAATATGACACTGGCTAGAATCCTTTAAGATGGATGAGTATTTGTGGCACTGCTGTCTGACTTTGGGCTGCTGTGTGATATAATGGGGCAGCTATGTGGCACAGTGGAAAGAGGGCTGAGCCTGGAGTCAGGAAGACCTGAGTTCAAATCTAGCCTCAGACACTTACAAGCTGTGTGACCTTGGACAAGTCATTTAACCCTATTTGCCTCAGTTTCTTTGGCTGTAAAACAAGAAGGAAATGGTGAACCACTCCAGTATCATTGCCAAGAAAACCCCAAATGGGTTACAGACTCTACTACAAATGACTAAAAAACAAAGTGGTATAATGAAGGAGATCTTTGCTGCCCAGATAATGTAGAAAAAGTATAGGGATTATCAAAATGTTTATGTCACAATGATCAAATATGTAATATTAACAACAAAAAGTCTGACACTGTCACGACTGGGCCCTAGTATAACGGCAGAAGCCTAGACACCCTAAGAATTTCACTGATATCTCAGCTTAAACTTGATTAGAATTATTTTCCTAATTGCTCATAGAATTCCCTGCTCTCTTTCCTTGCAGCTGTGGGATGTTATAGACTGGGACTGAGGGGAGTCCTTAGTAATGGCCTCTCTATTTATATGCCAATTCAATATAACAAGCATTTACTAAGTGCCTAGCATATATTCAAGACACTGTGTTAAACACAAGGGATACAAAATCCATCCATGCCAAAACAAAACAAACAAACAAAAAAACCCTTCCCGTGACATCAAGGAGCTACATATGTAGAGCCATTCAGTATGTAGATAGGCAAGTAGATATATGATCACCTGAAGAATATAATCAACTGAAGGTATGAGGACAATCTCACAGGAGCAGAGCTTTAAAAGAAACTAGAAAGTCTACCAGGTGGAGGCAAGGTTCACTCACAGCCTGCACAAAAGCGCAGAGCCAGGAGATGGAATGCCAGGTTAGGGGAACTGCCAGCTGGCCACTTTGATGGGAAGGGGAATGATGAGATATGGGACTGAAAGGCTGGAATCACTGTGAAGGGCTGAGGAATGCGTATTTTAATCCTGGAGGAGATAGGGAGACCCTGATTCCAGTAACAGTGTCAGACATATACTTTAGGGAGGTTATTTTGCATGTTGTTGTGTTTCAGAAGACGAATTGGAAGCCAAGAATCTAGACAGGAGGATGTCTGGGCAAGAGGTGAAAAGGATATGAAATAAGGTGGTGACTGTGTGAATGGAGAGAAGGAAAAGGAAAAGAAGGGATGGTTTAGGGGTCCAAGAACCTGGCTGTTCAAGTTCTGATGCTTCCAGTTATTACCAATGCAAACCTAGGCAAGGCATATGGCATACTAAAGAGTGGAGATAGGAAGACCTGAGTTCAAATTCTGCCTCAAATACAAGCTATATGACCCTGGGCAAAACACTTAATCTCTCTTGGCCTCAGTTTCCTCATCTATATTACAGGGATAATCATAACACTTACCCCACAGGGCTATTGTGAGGATCACAAGGGATAATATTCATATGATACTTTGTAAGTCTTAAAGCAATATATAGATATAGCTATTATTAGCTATCATTAACCTCTCTGGCCCAAGTTTCCTGAACTATAAAATCACAGGATTGAACTAAATGTCTTCTCAGCTCCTTTCTGTTTATAGATGTGAAAAGCTACATGCATAAGGTAGATATGGAGTTAGAACTGACACAGCATTAACAGCATATTGAAAACTCACAAGAATAGATTGATTTTTCCCATCTACCTACCAAAGCTAGCAATCTAGCTCATTATAACATTGACTTTCTCTCTGCCTTCCTCTCTACCTCTTCTACCTCCACCTTCACAATGGTTTAAAAAAGGTTATTAAGAGGAGTGGGGATGGAAAAGGCAGAATATAATAGGTTTTGCTTATGTTTATAATGGCAAAAAAAGTTTATGGGTCACTGCAATTAATTTCCTTAACTTAAATGTATATTATAATTGATACCTGGAATATTTGTTTATTTTCCTTTTATTTATCTGTATATATTTCAAATGAGAGGCATCATGGTGTAATGGGGCACTGGACTTGGAATTGGAAAGACCTGGATTCTAGCCCTGGCCTTAGACATTTACTAGCTGTGCTATTCTGGGCAAGCCACTTAACCTCTCTGTTCTTCAGTTTCCATATCTGTAATATCGTAAAATGTGCTTGAACATCTCTAAGGTCCCTTATAGCTAGATCTAGGTCTGTGATCCCATGATATTTTTCTGTTATTTTTATCTAGTAGGGATGGCCTATCCACATTAGTTATACAGCAATACAGCGCAAATACACGCTAGTACCTTGCTCTACTCATTAAATGGATGAAGACAAGGATTTAACCTTTGACTCTCCTACCATCACACTTTCCACTAATAATACATGGTTTAAATATCTTTCTGAGAATGAGGTACCTGTGCAGATCCTTTTAAAGTTGGGGTTTTCCAGAAGGTGTCCCGGAAGCCTACACTGGAATCGATGCTGCCAGAATTCAGGGAACCATGGATTTCGAGTGTTGGTGTCCAGCCTCAGTTTCAAGAAGTAGTCATCGAAAGACCTGACCTCTGGTGACTGGAGCTTTATGGTGATGCCTCCATTGGCTTCAACCTCATAGCCTTCAATGACTTCATCTCTGTCTGCCCAGCCATCACTGAAAAGGAAAGACAAAAAGTAAATAAACAATCATGCCTCCATACATGGTAGAGCATTAGGTATTAAAGGGAACACTAAGCAATCAGACCTAATGAATGCAAAGCTGATACACATTTATACCATCAGTAGACCTACAGTGCGGATGAGTTTGCACTGAGCCATTCACACACTCTCTTGCCTGGTTCCCCTTGTGATGAACAGTCAGCACAAAGACAGGATGAAAGTGAATATAGTAATTACCAGAGTTGGAAATGGTGCTTGGCAGAGACAAAACTGGAAACTCCTAAACTGAAGAAAGGAATAGAGCCAATTTTTTTTAAATGAAGCAAACATTGAGTGCTTACTATGTATGAGGTGTACCATGCTGTGTGTTGCAGTTAAAAACAAAACAGTTCCTGATCTCAAGAAGCTTACATTCTACTTGGGGACACAATATGTTGATAGCTAAGCAAATACATAATACATACAAATAAATGAGGTAATTTCAAGAGAAAAAAAAAGCTGAGCATATCAGGAAAGGCCTTGAGTAACAGGTGACCCATAAGCTATGCTTCGAAAGCAGCTAGGAATTCTCAGAGGCAGAAGTGAAGAGGGAATGATTTCCAGTCATGGGGGGACCATCTCTGTTTGAAGATATAGAGGCAGGAGATGGGAAGTCATAAATCAGTTTTACTAGAACTGAGAATGCATGAAGGAGTCAGCTAAATAAGATTGTAAAGGTACATGGGAGCCAAATTTCAGTACCATTAAAGGGTTTTTTTTTTTAATATTGAGGTGTCATGGCCAGATCTGTGTTTAAGAATAAGAAATTTGGCAGCTGCGGGAGATGGGAGATGGATCTGAAAGGGAAGAGAGAACAGAGGCAGGAAGACCAATTAAGAAGTCACTGAATCATGAAGGCAAGAGATAATGAGGATTGAGGCTCCATGAATTCAGAGAAAGGGACAGATGTGAGAGAGGTAGAATCAGTGTATGCCATTAATTTAATGGCTGGGGATAATCAGGGGGTGGGGTAGGGGTCAAGGTGGGAGAAAATGGAAACATGTTTCTTTTGTCCTGTGGAGACCTCTCTGCAGCATTTGGCACTGCTGACTGTCCCTCTTCTCCTGGCCACTGTCTCCTTTCTGGGCTTTCTTGACATGGCTCTCTCTTGGTTCTCCTCCTACCTCTCTGACTACTTCCTCTCAGCCTTCTTTGCTGACTCATCATCCATATCATGCCCCTCAGTTGCAGCTGTTCCTCAAGGTTCTATCCTGGGTCCTCTTCTCTCTTTCTACCCCCTCACTTAATGATTTTATCAGCTCCCATGGATTTAATTATCTTCTCTACATAGGTAAAGGGGTGGAAGAAGAGGAATAACCTTGTGTAGGGCACCCAGGATGTGCCAGACACATAGCTCTTTACAAAAATTACCTCATTTGGTCCTGAGAGGTAGATACTATTATCATTCCCATTTTACAGTTGAGAAAACTGAAGCATACAGAGGTTAAATGACTTGCCCAGGGTCACACAGCTAGTAGGTATCTAAGGCTAGATTTGAACTCAGGTCTTCTTGACTTCAGGCCTAGTTCTCTATCCACTCTGCCATCTAGTTGCCTAGGTAACTTCTCCATCTATATATCCTATTCTAGTCTCTCTGAATTCCAATCTGGTGTTACCAACTGACTATTGGTCATGTCAAACAAAATGTCCTGTAGTTATCTCAAATTCATAATGTACCAAAGAAAACTCATTATATTTTCCCCAAAACCTATCTTTCTACTCAGCTTCCTTATTATTATCAAAGCCACCTACCATCATCTTTTCCAGGCACCTAATTCTACCATCTTAGAGTCATTCTGGACTCCTCACTCTTCCTTATTCTGTATATCCGATTAGCTGCTGCCTTGCTTCTCCATAACATACCATGTATCTGTCCCCTTCCCATCATTCACATGACCGCCACCTTTGTTGAGGCCTTCATCATTTTAATCGGTCCCCCTGTTCCAAGTGTTTCTCCTGTCTATCTTCCACATGCCTTCCAAAGTGATATAACTAGGCCATAAGTCTGATTATATGATCAATAGACTTGATCAATAGACTCCAGTGACACCCAATTGAATATAAACTCTGTTTAAAATTTAACACTGTTTATAATTCAGTTCCAACTTACCTTTCTAGTTTTATTCTACATTACATCATCTATGTCTTTGTATCTCCAGTACTCAATACAATGCCTGCCATATAGTAGATGCTTTTTGATTAATTGATTAATTGAAAGAAGCAAATATCAGAGGCCTCTCTCCCTTGGAAACTATGCAATGTCCTGAAATGGATGTTCTTCCCACTTTTTGCCTGGTGGAGATAATTGGGCAAACAGTTATCCTCGGGGACAGAAAATTGTGAATTATACATAGTACTTCATGCAATGCCTTGTACCTAGCACGTGTCCAGAAGTATTTGTTGAGTGGATAAATGGATGAATGAATGAATGAATGAATAAATAAATAAATATATATATATATATATATATATATATATATATATGTATATATATATAGCATTATCTCTGTCAATAACCACGAACAAAATAATTCCAGGGATGGAAAAGTACAAGACTCGGGTTCCAATAGCTCTTACTGTTGCAATTGGGAGAAAAATTGCAATCAACGCCAAACAGAGAGCTGCCCCATGGTGGGGAAGAAAATTGAATCGCCTTTGCCAATGCTATCCAATATTTTTGCTCCTAGGAATTCAGGGAAAGGAAACAAATGCTTCTTATAAATGAGCAGTGCTTCCTTCCTACATTCGGAAGTCAATTCAAAATGACAACATCAGAGGAAAACAAATTCCTCTGTCCCTGAAGATAAGGTGGCTAAAGTAAGAGCAGAATGTTTGTTTTCTGCAGGATAAAAGCCATTTCAACATTTTTTTATTAGGTTTAGAATTTAGTGACTCCTTTGGATTTCATTTTAATTTAATTTTCTGGGAAAGTTTTTTGAGTAGCCACATTCTTTTTTTAATTAATTACTTTCTTTTTAGTTTTCAACATTCACTTCCATAAGCTTTTGAGCTTTAAATTTTCTCCCCCTCCCTTCCCACCTCCCTCCCCAAGACAGTGTACAATCTGATACAGGCTCTACAAATATATTCCTATTAAACATATTTTCACATTAGTCATGTTTTGAAGAAGAATTAGAACCAATAGGAGGAACCATAAGAAAGAAGAAACAAAACAAAACAAAACAGAAGAAAAAAAGGAGCAAATAGTATGCTTCGATCTGTATTCAGGCTCCATAGTTCTTCCTCTGGATGTGGATAGCATTTTCCATCATGAGTCTTTTGGAGATGTCTTAGATTCTTGCATTGCTGAGAAGAGCTAAGTCTATCAACGTTAGTCATCGCGCAATATGGCTGTTACTGTATACAGCGTTCTCCTGGTTATGCTCACTTCACTCAGCATCAGTCCATATAAGTCTTTCCAGGTTTTTCTGAAGTCTGCTTCCTCATCATTTCTTATAGCACAATAGCATTTCATTACAATTATATATCACAACTTATTCAGCCATTCCCCAATTGATGGGCATCCTCTCAATTTCCAATTCTTTGCCGCAACAGAAAGAGCTGCTATAAATAGTTTTGTACATGTAGGTCTTTTTCCAATTTTTATGATCTCTTTGGTATATAGCCCTAGAAGTGGTATTGCTGGGCCAAAGGGTATGCACATTTTTATAGCCCTTTGGGGATAGTTTCCAAATTGCTCTCCAGAATGGTTGGATCAGTTCACAACTCCATCAACAATGCATTAATGTTCCAATTTTCCCACATCTTCTCCAAATTTATCATTTTCCTGTTTTGTCATGTTAGCCAATCTGACAGGTATGAAGTGGTGCCTCAGAAGTGTTTTGATTTGCATTTCTCTAATCAGTAGTTGTGTAGAGCATTTTTTCATATGGCTATAGATGGCTTTAATTTCTTCATCTGAAAAATGTCTCTTCATATCCTTTGACCATTTATCAACTGGGGAATGATTTGTATTCTTATAAATTTGACTTAGTTCTCTATATATTTTAGAAATGATGCCCTTATCAGAGCCACTGGTTATAAAGATTCTTTCCCAGTTTTCTGCTTCCCTTCTAATCTTGGTTGCATTGGCTTTGTGCAAAGACTTTTCAATTTATTGTAATCAAAATTATCCATTTTGCATTTCATAATGTTCTCTATCTCCTGTTTGGTCATAAATTCTTCTGTTCTCCATAAATCTGACAGGTAAACTATTCCTTGGAGGAGCCATATTCTGAAACTTTCTGTGTCATCTGTGGTTGAAGAATCTGCAGCTTTCTGACTAAACTTTGCCTTGAATTGGCTTGATCAGTCCACAGGAGAGATATATTAATTTGGCATCTTCAAGAGAGCTACTTTATACCTTCTAGCCTCTCTCAGCAAATGTTTCTCTCTGCTTCTCCCTGAGCACCAAACTAAGCCAAGTCCAGGTGTGTCACGATAACATGCTGCCTTTTATGTGAAATCAATGGGACAAATATGTTTTCCAGTTAGGGGAAATAATGGGCATTGGTAAATTCTAGAAACATACCTGTTCCCAACCTCCTAGGTAAGCAAGTACATTTTGTCTTCTAATGTCCCAGGCTGCAGAGCAATTCATCTGAGCTGGACAGGATCTCATCTGGTCCAACCCACAATTTGTAGGCTTGTGAATATTGTAGCTATAACCTTAGCTTTATATAGTTTACCTGCTTTATACTACAGATGAAGAAACTCAACTTAGGAACATGAAATTTGCCTGTAGTCATATAAATAATAAGTAAAAGAAGAGAGATGAAAACCCAGGTTTTCATTCTTCCCATTATACTACCTACAGTGCCTCCCTTATATTGGAAGAAATATTCATGATAGAATTCTCAACATTTTTACTTGAAAGACTTCTGGGGATGGAGTAAAATTTTAACTAGGGTAGGGTGAGTGGGGTTTGTCCTAGTCACTTACATTTTGAAGGTGACA